TAAGGATCTATCTTATGTTGAGGAGCCAGTGGCGATATTGGATAGGCAGGTTCGAAAGCTGAGGTCAAAGAACATTGCATCAGTGAAGGTTCAGTGGCGGGGTCAGCCGATCGAGGAGGCGACCTAGGAGACCGAGCAGGATATGCGTAGCTGTTACCCTCATCTTTTCACTACTTCAGGTATGTCTCTATGCTCGTTTGTGGACGAACAAATATTTTAAGAGAGGGATGATGTAACGACTCGGCCGGTTGTTTTAAGAATTAATGCCCCGATCCCCTATTAACTGTTTTTCCCGTGTTTATTTATGCTATTGTGAATTGTCGGGAGGATTCGTTTTGAGTTTCGGAGTGTTTTGGGATACTTAGTCCCTCAATGAGAGCTTAAGCTTTAGAATTTGGACCATAGTCGGAGTAGTGGGAATACGTCCTCGGAATGGAATTCCGTCGATTTCATTAGCTCCGTTGGGTGATTTCGGGCTTAGGGACATATTCGGATTGTGTTTTGGAGGTCCTTAGCTTATTTAGGCTTGAAATGCCGAAAGTTGAATTTTTGAAGTTTCCAGATCAATAGTGAAATTTTTATATCGGGGTCGGAATCCTATTCCAGAAGTTGGAATAGCTCTGTAGTATTGAATGTGACTTGTGTGCAAAATTTGGGGTCAATCGAACTTGTTTTGGTTGGTTTCAGCATCAGTTGTAGGATTCTTGAAATTTCAAGTTCTTTAGGTTTGGATTGGAGGGTGATTCGTGATTTTAGCATTGTTTGATATGATTTGGGGGTTGGACTAAGTTCGCATGATATTTTAGGGTTGGTTGATATGTTTCGTTGAGGTCCTGGGGGCCTCAGGTGTGTTTTGGAACTCAACGGACCATTTTGGACTTGGAGAAGGATCAGATTTTCTAGTTTTTCTGTTGCAGACTTTCGTTCATCGCGATCACCTGAGGAGGCTCACGATCGTGTAGGCTTAGCTGAGGTAGAGGGAGTTTTGCTCTTCACGATCATGGAACGCGTAGTATTGAATCGCGAACGCGTGGTCTATGTCGCGTTCGCGAAGAAGAAGTGAGGCAGTTGTGGAGTGGAGAGTTCCTCTTCTCGATTGCATGAGGTCAACCGCGATCTCGTAGACCTGAAAGTGCAAGCATCGCGTTTGCGTGGAGAGTATCGCGTTCGCGTAGGGTAAATCTGGGAGCCAGCGAAGTTATTCTTCGCGATCGCGTGGGAGCTTCCGCGATTAAGGTCGCGTCTGGGCAGAAAATAAAGTTCAAATCAAGGATATTGAGTTAATATCAAAATATTGAATTGGGAGCTCGGTAGGAGATGATTGGAGAGATTTTCTGAGAGAGTTTGCGGGTAATGATTCTTAACGCCTTTTTGCTTATAACCCATTAATCTAATCATGAATTCATCATCTAATTTCGGATTTGGGGTGAGAATTGGGGAAAATTTGAGAAAAGTTCTTAGGCCTAATTTTGGGGTTTTGATCAAGATTTTGGTATCGAATTAGAGTGATTTTGGTATGGTTAGACTCGTGAGTGAATGGGGGTTCAGAATCCGTAACTTTTACCCGATTCCGAGACGTGGGCCTGGGGAGAATTTTTTGGTGTTTTTTATTTTCTTGCCTTAGCTTCGATTTCATGAGCTATATTAGTTGTTTGTAGTTGTATTTACGTTATGATATTAATTTGATTAGATTTGGGCCACCCAGAGTTGGATGCTCGTGGCAAGAGCGTGATTTCGGATTGATTTTGAGCCGGATTGAGGTAAGTGGCTTGTCTAACCTTGTGGGGGGGAAGTCCCCTTAGAATTTTGATGTTGTTGTTATATGAGTGACGTGTACGTGAGGTGATGAGTGTGTACATGTGCTAATTATTGAAAAACCCCATTTTTATTAAGTAAATATCTGTATTTTCTTGTAAATGAGCAATACTTGTACTTGAAACCTCTTGTTTAGCTTAGGAAAAGCATGCTTATGTGATTCAATTATCTTACATGCTTTAATTGCTTACTTGTACTCTGTGCAGCATGTTTAGAGTAGAATTTCCTGTCTAATTCTCGAATAGAACTATAAATTCTTTCTTGGGACTGTTATGTATTTATTTTGGGAGTACGGACGATTTTCCCGGGAGATCTCCCTGCATGTTTACTTTGATACTACAGATCGGTATTCGGGAGATCCTCCTGCACTTTTACGCTTGGGACTACAGGATGGCACCCGAGAGATCCTTTGTACTGAATATTTAGTTTGGGACTACGGATTGGTATTCCAGGAGTTTCCCCTGCATAGTTATGATTTGGACTACGGGATGATATCCCAGAAGAACCTCTGCACTTTTACGTTTGGGACTACGGGACGATATCCTGGGAGATCCCCTGTTGTTATCTCTATGTACTGAGTTACATTCTTTTTGTGATTTTGCTCTCTATTAACTGTTAGTGCCTTAATTATACTGTTACATTTCCTACTTTTACCTTGTTTTATGTATATAACCTGTAGGGCCCTGACCTTGCTCGTCACTTTTCGACTGAGGTTAGGCTTGGCACTTACTGGGTACCGCTGTGGTGTACTCATGCCCTTTCTTTCACATGTTTTTCGTGTACAGATCCAGGTTCTTCGGATCAGCCATACTATCAGTAAGGCGAGGCGATTCTCAAAGACTTTGAGGTATATCTGCCGCGTCCGCAGACCGAGGAGTCCCTCTCTATTCTCTCTTTTAGCTATAGGCCTTCTATAATTACTTTGTTTAGACTTCCGGAGTTAGACATTATGTATTTCCTCTAGTTTGTGATTCATGAGATTCCAGTTTTAGGGAGTGTTAATGTTGATCGAGAGTGTTGTTATTGTATATGCCGAGTGGAATCTTAAACTTTCTATTATATTACCCGTAAATTGCTAGTTTCATATCTTTGTTGCCTTTTTCCACAAAGTGTTAGGCTTACCTAGTCGTAGAGACTAGGTGCCATCACGACATGTTCACAGAGGGAGAACTTGGGTCGTGATAAGAACAATGTTTAAACTATTTCTACTACTGGGCAGCAATTCTGTGCTAATTTTGTCAACCAAGAAGGTTGATCGAACTTGGTTGTTTATATATGTCTGCTTGTTTATGTCAAAATTGCTTTTCATTCCACAAAAAATACATCATTCATTTTGTCATTATCATTGTACATAGGATTATGAAGACACTGATTAGTGCTAACTAGACTAAGAAGAAAATTATAATTATTAGTGCTAATACAACAACTAAAGTTACAATGATCTTCACCATCTTCCTACGTTGTAGTCGATCTTTCTCTCTCTAATTCTTGATAACAATCCTAAAATAACTTGTTTATAGTGATCTGGAAGAGGCGGATCAAATCACCTAAATATATTACAAGAATTGGTTCGACCATAGTTTGAGCACCCATAAAACCTTCTTCCTGGATTTGTTGGCTTCCAAATGATACAAATATGAGCTTCAACTCCACAATGACAAAATACAGGACTTTGATTCTTTTTCACAGTCAGGAAAAAGAAAAAAAATAAATAAAGCTTCAGATTTTAAGAAATATGAAGGAATGAAGCTTCAAATGTTATACAATAGAGGGATAATGTGTTTTACATTGAAGGAATAAGAACTCACTTAAATAGGCCCCATTTTTTACCGTTGGGCATTAGGAAGGGGGCTCTCACGCTCCTAAACGCTGTGAGACTCACGTAACCGGCTGACAAGGACCAACTGAAACCACATGGGATGGGTCAACGGTCAAATATGTTTATTAGTTATGGGTTTCACGAGTTTGAGTGTTTAATGGGAAAGTCCAAAATTTGCGTATCGACTTTCAAAAGCCCTATAAGTTTAAGTGGTCTGGAAGCCATTACGCCTAAATTATTTAATTACGTATTTTAGAACCTATGTGTATTTAACCTTTTACTGCTTTTAAATATGGCGTTTATGGATTTATCTTGAAAAATGGATCACATGTGTGTAAATCCATTTTATTTGGAGCGCTAAAATTATATTACGCGTACGTGTACACAAAATTTTTGTTATGTTTCGTAATTTTTTTATTTTTTATTTTTTTGATTTGTTGTTATTGTTGTTGTCTTTCACATTTTAACCTTTCCATTTATTTTTGTATTTACGATGTTGATACTATTTTTCTGGTTTCTGTTATGGTTATGGATCTATTGTCTCTGAGCCGAGGGTCTCCCGAAAATAGCCTATCTATCCCTTCGAAGTAGGGGTAAGGTCTACGTACATTCTACCCTCCCCAAGACCCCAATAGTGGGATTCTACTGGGTGGTTGTTGTTGTTGTACGTATACACAGTTAATCATACTTTATTAATTATTAAGATTGTTTGGCCAAAGTCGCGTGAACGCTTACTTTGATTTATTTGTGGAGATCTTAATTATGTCACGCAAACGTATATATAGTCACGATGATATATTAGATGCGCACCTAAAAGCATTTCTACAAATATTCAAAAATTAATTTGTTCAGCTTCCTAGGCAGTGCGAGATTGAGTGTCCATGAATTGACCATCATAATTCAGTGTTGGATTGTAGCTTAAGGTCGCATCAGCTTCATTTTAAATAATTCAAATGAATCTACTCTTTTTGTTGATTGGTATTTATATTAATCTATAGATGAAAATGACAGAAGCTATACACTATGACTTTGATGAGTTAATTCACATATAAGGGGGGTACAAGCGGGCTCTTGGATGAGAAAAGACCAAATGTCCCAACTCTTTGAAAGAGGCCAACGTTACAGGTTGCTGGGATTGAACCCAAATTTGAGCCTTAGTCAAACAAAAGAAAGGTTGCCTAACAAAGGAAAGGCTGCCATGCTCAAGAAAGTTGAGCCTGACACGATTGGAATTGGGCGTCCCAACTGAAAACATTTACTACTACAAATCTTAAAACATAAATAGGAATTTTACTTTGAATGAAATACAACAAATTACTTTAAAGAAAGATCAGCTATGCCCGTAACAAATCACAACAGACTAAAGTACTTCAAACGAGTTTAAACACCAGCTCCAATTGAATTACTTATACAATATCATCCCTAAATTAACATTTACATCTCTACTGTTAATAAACTACTAATAATGAAGCTACTTCGTGCAAGAGGGACTTTAACATGCTAAACTCATGATAAACTGCTATATAACAACATTCCATAATCTATATTTTTTTAACGTTAACTATCAGTCTACTAAATCTGTATAACAACATTCAATGATAATGAACTGAATTATTACAACTCTATATCAAGAACCATACTAAACTAAAATTCAATAATTACAATAGATGACCACTTTTAATTGACAAAACTTTAAAATCAAGCCAAGCACTGGTCATATTTCCAAGCTCATCTCCAACACTTCCGACATCTTACTTCTTAGGCCACAAATCTAATAGGAAACCTTCAGAACATCACATGTATGAAATTCACCAACAACAAACCAAATCTCAGCAGTCATAAATCAAAATATAGAACTGATAATTATTTTATTACTTAGGTTACCAGCATGTATGAAGATTTATCAAACCATTTTTCTTCAATCTAAGCTCAAATTTGCAGTCAAACATAGAGGAACATCCACCGTACACATCAACTAACAAACAACATAGATTGTATAACAATAAAACATCCTAATATCAATTACATGGTTTGAAGTTAGAACATGTACCTTGAAATGCAGTTAGGGAACTTAGAATGGCCAAATAAAGGCTAAAATGAAAGAGAGAAGTTCAACGAGACTTAAGAATCAGCAATGAGTAGACAGAAATCAGCAGTAAGTCCCAGAATGAACTTCAACTTTTAGCTCAAAATTAACTTGAGAAGATAAAAACTTCTTCGATCTATGTATATCTAAAATTGCAGAAATTCTGGGTGTGTTTTTCCTTCTAAGAATCCAGGAATTAGTGGATTTTTCTTGAAAAAAGAGTGCAAGGATTAGGATGTATTCACTTGTGTGAGAATGTGAGGAAGAATGTCTTTTATAGAATATAAGAGTGTACATCATATAGAGATGAGGGGAAGGGGAGGGAATCTTCTGTCAGCTTCCTAAAAATCAAGGAAATAACATTTTTTGCAACTGAAATGGACAGCTGTCCAATTCCAGAAATTCCTTCATATTTTTCTAACCCCTTAACTTCTCAAATTGACGCTTTTAACCCAAATTTAAACCAACATTCTCATTCTACTGTATTTTGATCCCTTACCTCTATTATAGAACTTTCTAGCTGTTAAAAGAAAAAGATTCTGCTCAATTCTAATTCCCAAATACCCCCTTAAACTTTGATTAATAACAAATGAACCCTAGCAAGGATCATACGGATCAGAACAAAAGCAAAAGTGCAAAAAGTTAACAAATAACTTGTTTTAATATCTAATTAACTCAAAATTGATTAAACTAACAACTTATACCATTAAACTAATTAATATGTAATTGAACTATTAAATAGGCATACAAAACACATACTAATTCTAATTGACTTGATTATTTAAATATTAGAATCTATTGTAAAAACTAATGCAAAGCAAGTTAAACACCCAATTCTTAAACATAAATAAGAAGAAAGAATAAGAACTCGGATCAAAATAAAAGAAGTAGAGGGAGATGAATATAAAGAAACAAACTGAAACTAAAGGGAAACAATAAGGAGAGTTATACATGCCGAATTGGAAAAAGAAACGGGTCGACCAACAAAACTCGAACGGATTCTGGTGGCTTTGAAATGAACCAAAACCAACATTAATCAATTGTTCGTAACATATATATATATATATATATATATATATATATATATATATATATATTAGGTCAAAACAAGTGAATTTACCAAAGAAATCAGAAAAAGAAAAATTTAAGTTTCTAGAGTTTCTGAGATTTGAAATTTAGGGAGTTTTAGTAGGATTAGGTAAAGAGGCTAGGTGTTTGGTAAGAGGAGAAAGTGGGGATTGTAGGGTGAAATTTTGGGATTATTTGGAGTTGTGCCTCCGTTGTGGGCGATTTCCGCCGGCGGCCAATGGCGGAAGCTCAGAGAGAGGAGATGGGGTGAGTTTTGGGAGAAGTCTCTAGGGTTAGGGGAGGGGTTGGTCCGACATCTTTAAGGGGAGGGGAGTTAAGTTCCCAACCATTGGATCATAATTGATCCAAAGGGTGAGATTTAAAGCTTCAGAAACGGGGCCGTTTGGTTTAAGTGGGTGAGTCGGACCGGGTATAGGGTTTGGGTTGGAGCGGATTAGGACGACTTTTGGCCATTGAGAGTTTTTTGGCCCAGCTTAAAATAAGACCAAATATTTCTTTTATTCCTTTTCTTTGTTCTTTTTTTCCTTTTATTTACTTAAAATCCTAATCAAATTAATTAAGCACCTAAATTAATTCCTAAATCAAATCTAACTTGAAATTAAACCTAATTACCTATTATATCATTTAAACACTTAATTAATTTAAAACTAATGAAAGAAAATTACTAATTTAAAACTAAAAGCTAAAAATATAAAAATAATCTTTTTTTAAAATAATGCAATTAATAATTAACTTAAATCATAAAAATGCAAATAAAAACCAAAAATGCTATGCACAATGTTTTTGACATTTTTTAGTATTTTCCACGATTTTGAAATATTAAATATGAACAAAAAGCAACTAAATGCAAATAATGAACAATAAATTCCTAAAAATTTTATGAAAATTTAAAATAATTAGAAAAAATATGTTCTTGTGGATTTTGTAGGAGTATTTTACGTCGGGCAAAAATTACGTACTCATAGCTACCCCTCTTTGCAGGGAAACACGAGAAGTTTTCGGGCAAAGATAAAGTGAGCAATTACGAGCAATTTTTGCCCGTTTGGATACTCCATGGGAAGCGTTTTGAAAAAGTTTGACCGAATCTTGCTTCGGATGTTGCCTACATATCCTTGACTATAAAGGAATTAGGTCAGTATAGTTCTGGAAACTTTGGCAATTAGGACTACCGAGAAATTGTGATTTCACTGCTGATGCTGCTGTTATTGCTTGTTGAACTCTTTATTTCCCCAAAATCAAGACGAAAAGAAACTAAACAAGCCTATCCTCCATGAGTTACAAGATTCCTATCTATAAGTCTTGTAATACCCCGTACATTTAAACTAGGTGTGGATATGTTAAATGAGTATTAATTTAATATTTTAAACATATGAAGTCTTATGAGATGAGTATGGGTGAAAATAGTTGTTTTAGAATTAAGATGGAGAGTGAGGTGCATAAGATTCGACAAAATCGACTAAGTTTACAAAAGATTTGTCTTTCAGCAGAATTTAGTAAAATTGTATAAAGAATTTGGAAAACCTCAAAACATGAAAGTTGTAGGCCATTGAAATATATTTTCAACGACATATTGTGGAGGCCAAACGGATCTCTGTGCAAAACGTTATGTGCATTTTATAGAATAGCACGCCCAGTGCGCGGCGGCGCACTTGTGGCAGTGTTACTACCATTTTGAGCGGTCAGGTGCGTGGTCAGGCCTTCAGGTGCACGGGGGCGCACTTGGCAGGTCATTTTAAAGCCCTACTTTGTCCCCACACCCCCAAAACATAAAAACTTGCTCTAGAAAGGGGAGCTCTCAAAAACCTAACTCCTTAAGGGTCCCTCCACCATCCAAGGTAAGTCTTAATGGTGATTCTAAGTTAATTTCAATTTCCCAACATCTTATTAACATGGGTAAACCCTCCATATCATTAGATATTCGATTGGGACATCATTGTTGAGAGAAGAAATCCTAGAACTCGAATTCAAGGGGATTGAACTTCAAAAAGGTAATGTCTTCACCCTCTAATTGGTTCTAGCATTAGATTAAGGACTATAGAATCTAGTTCATGATATATGAGTTGATGGGTTTGATAGAAAAGCATGAACGGTTATAGTTTTGGGTTGTTGATTGTTGATTATTGGTTAAGAGTGTTGTTTACCTTATGGGTGATAAAGAACGAGGTTGATCACAACCATTTGAGACTTTAGAATTTATTTAGGAGCAGGATAATGGATTATTCGATGTAGAGACACCATTAATAAGGACTTTGAAGCTTTATGCCACCAAGTATTTGAGAAAATACCTAAGTGACCAAAATATGAGTATTATTGCAAATATGGAATCCCTTTGACTTGTATTGATGTTGATTAAAGTTGAAAGGGTTGGCGAATATTGTATTACGCTCAAGTGTAGGAAGTTACGGTATGTGAGGCTAACTCTCTATGTTTGGGAATGTAAATGATTCACCCTACACTATGTTTCAATTACGACGTTACTAATTGCCTCGGAAATATAGTTAAGCCTAGTTCCTTGAATAGTTGCTGAACTTCTATTCTCTATCTTCATAATTCGTTCATGACATTCATTCTGAACGTTGTAAGCTCAATGCATAATCAATATAGACTTATGTTTAATTCCCATGAGTCTCAGCCTAGATTACTAGCATGTCATAAATAGTTGAAGCATAAGTTTTCATAATCAGTTCATGAATACATGTCTCAGTCAAGCTCTATTCAGCATTCAAGTATCATGTAACTCAGTATGGTTTAGTATTCAACATCATGTATTTCAGTATGATTCTATGTTCCTGAATGTTGAACACATGTATTTGGGCCTGAGGCCATAGTTTATATGCTTTATGCATACTTGGTCTTGAGGCCGTAGTTTATGCTTTATGCATATTTGGGCCTGAGGCCTTAGTTTATGCTTTATGCATTTTTGGGCCTGAGGCCGTAGTTATGTATACGTATACTTGGGCCTGAGGCTGTAGCTTGTGCACATATATATTGGGCCCGAGACTGTAACTTATTCAGATAAACAGGTTTTTCATCATTCAGAAGAGGAAGTATCCATATCCTTACTTCCTTTGTTTAGTTCAATTATTAGTTATCATTTCAGTTATCTGTTATCATTTCAGTTACTAGTTATTAGTTCAGTTATCAATTATCAGTTATCATTTCAGTTTCAGTTTCAATAGTTATCATTTCAATTATCAATTATAAATTCTCAGTTATCAGCTTAGTTTCAGTTTCAGCATTTATAATTCTTTCTTTCAGTTGCTTTACATACCAGTGCAATTCAAATATACTAACGTCCCTTTTTCCCAGGGCTTGCATCTCACGATGCAGGTAATTATTTATAGGTTGATGATTCAAAGTGCTAGGATTCTCGTACCAGCTATTTGGTGATCCCTAGTTCTTTTAGGGCATTATCATTACCTTACAGTCTTCAGTATTTTCAAACAGTTAGTGTTTTCAGTACTTCATTAGAGCCTTTATAGACTAGAGTAACAGTTAGACAGAGTCTCAGACTTTTCATGTTAAGTTATGTTGGCTACAAATATGTTACAGAATTGTATTAATATTTCTGCACTTTGATTTATATCATCCCAACTTTCAGTATATCAGCATGTGTTAGTTTATCTTCCACATCCAGTATATTATGATATCACATGTTGATTCAGACAGCTAGTTGGTCTGCTCGGTCACATATAGTCAGGTATCAAGTGTCGTGTTATGTCTAGGCCCAGGTTCAGGGCGTGGCAAAGCTTGGTATCAGAGCCTAGGTTTAAGAGTCTTAGGGAGGCTATGAAGCCGTGTCCAGTGGAGTTTCCTTTATATGTGTGTGCCGGCCACTCATATAAATGGTTAACTACCAAGACATCCAGGATTGTCTCGTCTCTTTCAACTCTAGATCTTGCCATGAAACTTAGAGTAATAAACCTTTTCTTCCTATCGAATTCCAAACATATTGGATGCCTAAGCGACGCGCTGGAGAAACCTAAGGTCCTAGAGAGGATAATTGTCCATTGGGTATAATTATGGAGTACAAGTTGGTAAATATGAGACTTGAGAGGATGTTAAAAGGGGGATGCGATGGATAGTAGTACAGATTAGAGCATAACCTTATCAGAAAGTACAAAAGCAGCTATCATATCTTATGGTTATTAGTTTACCTCAGTTACCAATTATACAGTCTTTTAGTTAACAAGTTTATGGTTATTCAATA